AATATGTTATTATCTGTGTACAAGCAGTAACACTTCAAAAGTCTGATGATGGTTGAATAAACCGAAACGTTAAAAAAACTATTTGACCCCCACCTTGAAAAAAACTATATAAATTGTTAACTGGTGAGCAAATAATAACACAGGTTTATAGGATTGAAAAGTTATCTAATGATAAAAGATCAAAAATGGTTATTACATCGATTGACAGTGACATGTGTCTCTTTTCATATATTAATAACATACTCATTTGTAAACATACATAGAATGAGAATCATGATTACCAACCTAAAAGTTGAGTTGGTATCATGTACATTTTAATACAAAAAATAATCATAGGTGCGTTATAGAAACATACAAAATTTTAAATAACTTTTTTTTGTAAATGAATATTAACATAAATAAATTAGTTTTTTGTTCTATTAATGTTGTAGGCTTGCATATATGCAGTTAGTCGAAGTTATTTCAGTAGTTCAATGCATCACTAGCATAGGTCAGTGTAAAACAGTAGTTATGACAATGGCATTTAGTTCGGCAGAACTTGGTGATTGTATAGTCATCCATATCCCAGAGTGGCTCATAAATAATTTTGGTAGATAATTTATACATTTCAAGACTCTAATTTTGCCAATAAACCAACAATAGTTCTGGAGTGAACTTTTTATTTATTACAGTGCGACGTTTCGACCGCCAATTTCGGTCATCATCCGGTTTAACGAATATTACACTGTTCTTATAAGGATCTTATATATATTCTTGTGCACAAAATACGCTTACGATGTGATAATTATTGTCCGAAATTGACGGTCGAAACGTCGCACTGTAATAAATAACAAGTTCACTCCACAACTATTGTTGGTTTATTGGCAAAATTATAGTCTTAAAATGTATAAATTATTATACAACAACCAACAAAATTAGATTCCTTTTTGTACATAATTTTGGTAGATGTTACAAAACCTGTCTTCTATCACGTTCTACGTATCTGTATTTACAGGTGTAAAAAAATTAACGCGCCTTCGCAGCACTTCAATGGTAGTGTGAAAATTTGCCTAAATGATTATTCATTTGCTTACTAATGTGTACGTAACTTACATTTTTTTCTTTCTTTTGATCGTTTACAGTTTGATATGTAATTAAAATAATGCTGTGTAGTATTTGCGATGAACAAATGCTGGTATTATTTCATTTTTATCGTAATGTTTGTTGTTTTGTTGTTTATTTGAATGTATCGACAACCGGCACCGTTTACTCCATCATGTAACTTCTGAGTTCTTATCTCAATTCATAGGTACAGTCCGACGTCGCCAATTCCCGAGATAAAAAAAGCAATAAAATTTGATAGAATATATATTTTTCATATTGCAGAATAATTGATTATATTAATCGTGAAACATTTAAATAAAACATTAATAAGACTGAAATGATGTAAATGTAGTAAACTGCCTTAATTTGATATTTATTTCCAATTGTATTGTAAAAAAAATATTACATAGAAGGGAAAACTGCTGCAATGATTTTAAATATAAAGCAGAACATCATACTATTCACATTGATAAAATGTTTTAAAAATAAATAAATCTTTGTAATAGAATAGAATAGAATGTATTTGATTACTTGAATAAGAGGAATAAATTTTAATGTATAAAATTGTTGATATATTTTGATATTGATGAAGTAATTTTGAAAAACAAATAAGGAACAACGAAATGAAAATATTGAAATTTATTATAGATTTCTTAACAAACAGTCAGCGAACAATCTGTTTTACAGTGGGTGTATTCTTTAATTTTTGTTTTGTTTTTTTTTTTGATTTTGATTTTAAAGGCGTTTTAAAAAATCCGCCATTACAATATTATTTTCGCGAACCCCCTCTGCAAACACTGCGAACCCCCAGCGGTTCGCGAACCACCGGTTGGGAATCACTGCTCTAGACCATGCCGTTCGGTGAAGCATTTCAATCTCGAGCATTTGTAGGGGCTGGATTTGCTCTAGAAGGATTCCAGAATGTGAGATCCAGAAAATTTGATTTTATTTGTTACTGGTGAGATCTAGGCTTGCTACTAATTTGGGCAACCCATTATGGGTCTCATGACGTATTGTTGTTGCCTGTACGGACAGTATGTTATGTTGAATTTACATTTGTGACTTCTGCATTTTTGCTTTTTTTATTAGCTATTTGTTGAAGTATGATATGTTAATTCTTCTCTTGTCTGTATGACTAATTTAAGTAATCGTAAATCCATTATTGATGCCTAAAGAATATGCAGCAATTCGTGAGACAGAAGGTTGTCTACTTTGGGTATTGTAAGCTCCTGAACCAACGGAATGGTTTCCGTAAACACAAATATTGTTTGGGTCTGAGGTTTCGAGAATTGATAATTTTTCGTTTCCTTCTCGATAAACGGCCTATGGAGTGAAATAAAAAATAACCTCCCTCACTTTATTTGTCAGATAAATTCGTAAAAGAACAAATGATACTACGTCAAATAATAATTGTTGAGTTGCTTAATGTTTCATGCTCTGAACTATGTAATGAATAAAATCCAGTGACCTATATTGTGCTGGATAGAGTGGAAGTCTGTTTTCAGCCTGCTTGATAGTGGTGATAAGGGAATGAAAGCCGTGACAGTATATTATAAGTGAAAGGCTATCTATGAAATATACCTGCCCCAGAATTTGTTAGACCACCATAGGATAGCAATCAGTGTCTTATTCTTTTCGTGATGAAAATATGAATAAATTAAATTTTGGGAGCATACTTGATTGATTGTATCGTACCCTTTGTGAGATTCACGATGCATAGATATAATGCATCTAAGCATCTAGATATATAAAATAGCATCTTCCTAATTGCATTTAGGACTTTTTTTAACTTGTTATACTCGAGTTAAAAGGATTTTTTTTTTAAATGCATATATGCGTACTTTTCTCGGTAGATTTTCCGATGTCGATGGTGCTCAGAAATGCGTTTAATATTCTAAAAGCGTGGCGCAAAAACTGGGCCGGGGTTTTTTACATCAAATACGATATGCTAATATTACATAGGCCATGCATGAAAACTGTAAACAACCCCTTTCGTTCTCGGAATGAGGTCGATTTTATCCGGTTCTGCGCTTTCCACCCTTCATGCCTTTTGATTGTGCTCGTTCCTAGTGTTATTTGATCATAACTGCTGATGTTTTACAGTACCTACGTTACGCACATATTTGTATTTACATACACAAGGCACACGTCGATTTACGTGTTCATACTTACACGCGCTCATAAAGGTTTTGTATTATGCTTCACGAGAAATGGACAGTAAGAACAAAAGCCAAAAGTACAGTTACTCTATCAATCAAGAATCATCGAAATGTTCGAGTTTTTTTGCAAATGGTAGCACTTTTTGAATGCAAACTATAATTTGTGGTTTGCAAAATTGAAAAATTTTTTATTGTACGTTAAACATTAATCGAGGAATAGAATAGTATATGTCAAGTTTTTCTTGATTGGGAAATTCCATTCTCGGCATGATAAAAATCAATTTAAAGTGGTTATTATATATACAAATAGATGTACAGGGGCTAAAAATTAGTATGCTTAGATTTGCAGATTATATAGCAGTATTAGCATCTAGCAAGGAGGAGTTAGCTTTAAATAAAATGAAAGCGGTATTTTAAAGATTTCTGTTCTTATTTTAATTTTTATCTTTAGCTAATCTGGTAATTTGGAGCATATCATTGTTCGTTATTTACGTTCCTGTTGTGCTTGTTCTCGAATATAGTTTTTGTATTTTTCTAACGTTTTTTCAACTTCATTAGGAAGAGAAATTACTTCGGTGCTAATATTTATAAACTAGTAACATATTTGCATTTATTCATTGCTATTACTTCACTATAAATTACAAACTGTATTATTAGATCAAATCTTTTTTGTTTCAGGTCGATATAAACAAGAACTACAAAAATGGAAAAGGAAGACAGTAAATAGGTATTCTGATGGTTATTTCAAAAATTTACAGTTTAGGTAAGTAATACCTTTCTGCATTAGAAAATATTGGGTTGTTCGGAAAGTCATTTCGTTTTTTCCCGACAGAGGATTTAATTGTATTCTTTTGCACCCAACTTCACATTTAAGCCGTATAATTTTTATATGCTTTGAGAGCTCATATAGCAAGGCTTGTGTGTGAAAAATTCCAATTAATTCTACGCAGTAGTTTTTGGTTGGTGCCCTTTTAAATATGGAGAGCGATAAGCAGCATTTTCGACATATCTTACTGTTTTACTACAGAAAGGGTAAAAATGCTGTTCAAGCCAGAAAGAAATTGACTGATGTGTATGGAGAAGGTGTGTTGACAGTACGCCAGTGCCAGAACTGGTTCGCTAAATTTCGATCCGGCAATTTTGATGTCGAAGATGCACCACGTTCGGGAAGGCCGGTTGAAGCTGATAAAGACGCGATAAAGGCATTAGTTGATGTGAACCGGCGAATAACAACACGTGAGATCGGATTGAGGTTAAATTTATCAAATTCAACAGTTTATGACCACTTGAAAGGCCTGGGATTATCCTCGAAGCTCGATGTATGGGTTCCCCATGTTCTCACAGAGAGAAATCTGTGTCGCCGCATTGACGTCTGCGATTCGCTTCTCAAACGTCACGAAAATGATCCGTTTTTGAAGCGCATCATCACTGGGGACGAAAAATGGGTTGTATACAACAACGTCAAACGCAAGAGGTCATGGAGCAAAAAAGATGAACCGGCTCAAACCATTTCCAAAGCCGATATTCACCAAAAAAAGGTGATGCTGTCTGTTTGGTGGGATTTTAAAGGAATCGTTTTTTTTGAGCTTTTACCGGATAACACAACGATTAATTCGGAAGTCTACTGTCATCAGCTGGACAAACTGAATGATGCACTTCAACAGAAAAGGTCAGAACTAATCAACAGGAAAGGTGTAGTGTTTCACCAAGACAACGCGAGACCTCACACAAGTTTGGTCACTCGCCAAAAGCTTTTACAGCTTGAATGGGATACAATGCTACACCCACCATATTCTCCAGACCTGGCACCATCGGATTATTATTTGTTCCGGTCACTCCAAAATTTTTTAGACGGTAAAACCTTCACCTCAAATGAGGAGGTCAAAAACCTCCTCGATCAGTTTTTTGCCAGCAAAGACCAAAAATTTTATGAGCGTGGAATTATTCTACTACCAGAAAGATGGCAAAAGGTGTTGGACCAGAACGGTCAATATATAATTTAGTAAAGTATTTATTTATTATACGAAAACTGTCTTTCATTTCCACAATAAAAAACGAAATGACTTTCCGAACAACCCTATAGCATTCAAAATTAGAAAATCAAAGCTGTCAGGCGTGGATCACGATTTTGTTCTTATTAAATCTCATTGGCACGTCATAGACCTTGTCTAACATATGAAATGCTTTAGCTGAAAGTAGATATATATTAGGTAAGTAATGCATAAGTAGATCTTGTACCAACTTGCTCTTGGAGAGCCCATTTGATTTGGGCGATGATTTAACCAGACTATCTATGATGTGCAGATGAAATTTAATATGATCGAAATCGCGATCTGCGTTTCGGTAAATTACTGGCCAAGAACTTGTATTGTTCTTATTAATTTTGCACGTCAGCCCGTAGCCGAACTTGTGTTGGGGAAAGCGGGGGAATTCCGAATAATACCGCGCACCAGTGTTTCAGGTGAACCCCGAATTATCTATTAATTAAGAATCGGAACGTACGGTGCCGATGTATGTTTACTGGTTACAATTCTGATGTAATATGTGATCATTATATAGTAGTAAGTGTAAATGTTTATTTATTTGCAGTGAAATTTTTACCTAGCTATTTCTTCTCATCTATCCGATTAATACTATGGATTTAATCAATTTTTAATAGTAGGAGCTCATGACCTGTGTTAGGTTATATCTCTCCGTGCAGATTTGGGGAATCCCGCGCAGCTCACTTGGGACAATGATGGTGTAGATCTAGGCCAGGGATGCTATGGAGTTCCGTAACTGCAAGTGAAACTATCGGATATCCGAAATAGAAGTCTACCTCAAACTGTAACCGAATCTGATATAAAAGTTGCGAATAATTTCGAATAGGAGCGTAGTTTAAACGAGACATGTTGTGACAGGCTTTCGTTTTAATACATAATGATTCCTATAAAAAAAGTTCAATAATATAACAGAAGCAAATAATGTGTTTTGTTTTACGTTAATTGAGAATAGTAAAACCTTTTTTATCAATATAGAGTTCTTCCTGTTAATTTAAGTCATGTGTGAATAAATTTCCCGCCACGAAATTTTTTCCAGCTCGAATGTTGTTTGGCACCCTTAGCATACATATTAATTTTATTCCTTTCAAACTTTTCAATTCGAATTTCTTAGTTTCTCTATAACTATAAAATTTCTCTAACTCGAGATTTGAGTGTGAAATTGACATTATGAATTTTCCCTTTAATTCTCGAATTTCTCTATTCTTTACCTTTGATAGATATGGTTATACATTTAAGGTAACAATCAGCAAAAATAGCAACGAGACACCTTCACATGTACATAAACATAATTATAGTGAAATATGTTTTAATTTGGAATGGTCACTGATGTCACTTTCTCAGTGTTTACCGTGCAATTGTAGGTAATAAGAGTTAGTGGTGATGACCTTATTAACGGTAGTATACGTGAAAGTGATACCTTGTAAACAAAAATTAAAAAGTTTGGTAGTAAAGCAGAATGATTCGAATTTTTCTTTAACTCAAAAGTTGATGCATTTACGTTGTCCGTGTTTGGTATGTGTGAGTGTACATGGATCACACATATGTTATATTATTTAAATTTAAAAATGGAATCTGATGTCTTGATCAGGAGCGGCACTCATTTAATGTGTTCCAATCTTTTTGATTCTCTGATTGGTTAAGATGCAAATGAGTCTTCTTGTTTTAGAATTGTTTCTCAATAGTATAACAATAACGCTGAATGTTTCTAATAAGCAATATTCGTTACAATCAAATTCCACTATAAGTATATTCATAATTTTTTCGCGGATATGATAAAAAAATCTTTTTAAAGCCAGCAGTTTTTCATTCTGTGTCGAAATTGTACAGTATCGTGTTTAATAAATACGTTCATCCATTTTGTGCAGATATGTATCTGTAACTTATTCATTTGTATGCGTTTCCAATCTCGTGTCGAAGATAAATTGGAAATCTAGTGAACGCAGACGGTTTAGTGCATGCGCCAGGCAGTCACTATCCATCAGGGCGCTATTTTATTTAGGTATTTCTGTCGGGATTTCGCTCTTATTGCGTTATTGTACACATCTCTCGCGACGTCGGAAATAGCTAGGCTTGACACTTTGCATTTATGTTCGCCTCACATCATCTCCACCTTCACATCGACTTTGGTTGCATTAAGTTTCCAACTACCTTCACCCATAGGGTGCTGTGGTGTCACAATGTTTATTAAATACGTAATTTCACTGAAACAGGAATAAAAAAATGCTTATGTAGTGTTTTAGTCTTCCATTTTGTTGTGTGGAAAATAAATACTAATTCATACGTTCTTCTAAGGTAAGTAATATATAGGGTGATTGATCTAAAGTTCCAGGATCGATTTACCCATTTTTATTAATGTTTTTAAATATCTCATTAAAGGACTTCCTTAAGGAAAATCGCCTCCAATCGAATTGGCTTCGATTAGATTATGTTAGCGTTTTTATATTCTTATTTATTTTTTATCAAGTTGCTTATAAATTTTGTTTGTTGGTGTTATGATTTTGGTAGAAAAATAATGCGATGTCGTATCGTGATTAACAAGGAAGTAAGTCGAAGAATAAGAGGAATGGTAGCAGCCGCAGCCACTCTTGTTCTCGTTTAATAAAAAAGTGTAAACGTCAAAAAGGAGTATCATTTGTAAGGTGCGATTACAATTATGCTGGTCTTTATGATTTTCTTTTCAAAATTGCTAAAAAATTTGTACTTTTCTATCATCATCATAAGGTCGCCAGTCTTAAGACTAGTTGGACACGCACTTCCACTCTTTCCTATCCTGAGCTAATCTTCGCATTTCCCTAAAACTAGAACAATGCATATCCTTAACTATTTGCGAACAGTAATCTAATCTAGATCTACCTCTGCGCCGTTTCTGCCTCTAATGTCTCTGAATAGCCCTTCATATACCTGAGAAGGTGTCCTACTAACCTATCTCGCCTATTTCTTATTGATTTCCATAGATTCCTCTGTTCTCCTATTCTCTTTAATACCTCTTCATTTCTAACCTTTTCTACCCACGTTATCGTCATCATTCGTCTGTAACACCACATTTCGAACGCTTTTAACGGTTTCTTTTCCGCCGCGCCCACTGCCCATGTAATTTTCTATGCTACCCATCAAGTCGGGTACGATTTTCAGCCGGTTTAATGATCTAATGGATAACTGCTAGAAGATTCAATCGATTTTCGTTGGAAGTACATCACAAAGAGGAGCACATAATGGTGAACCCTCCTGTGATCTTGATAACTATCTGTCTACAAGATCATTTCAAAAATGAACTTCATCTTAAGATATTTTTTAATGTATACATCATTTGGATGTTGCTTAAGAATTTTGAACTGCCATTAACTCCTTACTTAACTTAAAAACAAAATTCACAGTGTCCAGATATTACAAAGTAATATACATGAGTAAATTCTGATTTTGACACGAGCATACAATTATCTAACCTGTATCATGCAGCTTTTCAGGCTAAAATTTGGTATTGCCCCACTTTTGCTAGTAACTCAGCACTATTCTGATACGAACAATGAAGAACTGGATATTGCTTTCGGTATAAAGCGTATTGAATAGAAAATAAGTAAGACACGTGGTGGATGACTAGATAATTGGGACAATATTCCGAGAAGAAAATGACTGTTTTATGTCGTAAAATTCGTTGCGATGGTGTTAATTTTGACTAGACATACTATAACCATCTTTTAAAGAGTAGAATTTGCTACAGGTC